TTCAGCTTCAAGTTGATCTTGCATATGACAAATTGATGATCAGACAGATGATTCCACAATCTGCTCCTGGCCTTGTTTTAGCTGAAGATATTGAACTTCTCCATCTTCTCTTTCCACAGATGTAGTCAGTCTGATTCCTGTGTATTCCGTCTGGTAAGGTCCAAGTGTATAGCTGCCATTTAAGTTGTTGAAAAATTTATTTGCAGTGAAGAAGTGGTTGGGCTTGAAAAACTCTCATGTGATCTCCAGCATCATTTCTATCACCAAAACCATATTTTCCAACTACTGGTGATTTTCCTTTGTTTCCAACTTTTGCATTGCAATCACCAGCAATAATCAATACTTCATCTTTGCATATTTAGTTAATTTCAGACTACAGAAGTTGGTAAATATCTTCATTTTCCTCATCTTTGACTTTAGTGCTTGGTGCATAAATTTGAATAATAGTAGTACTAACTGGTTTTCCTTGTAGGTGTGTGGATATTATCCTATTACTGACAGCACTGTACTTCAGGGTAGATCTTGACACATTCTTTATGATAATGAATGTGATGCCATTCACTAATCTTCAGTTTTTCATTCCTGGCATTCCTGGCAATTAGATGACCATGTGCTCACCTAATTCAAAATAGCCAAAACCAGTCCATTTTAATTCACTAAAGCCTAGAATATCAATTTTTATGCATTCCATTTCATTTTTGACAACTTCCAATTTTCTTAGATTCATACTTAGTATATTCCACTTTCCAATTATTAATGGATGTTTGCAGGGTTTTTTTTCCCCCATTTTAAGTTGTGCCTCATCAGCAAACGGAGATCTTGAAAGCTTTATTCCATCCATGGCATTATGGTCAACTCTACTTTAAAGAGGCAGCATTTCCCTAGGCATATTTTGAGTCCTTTCCCTCCTGAGATGCTCATCTTCCAGCACTGTATCAGGCAGTGTCTCAAGGCTATTCATAATGTTTCCAGAAATATACCAGGCAGTGTTCCACTGCAATTCATTAAGTTTTCACTGGCCAATTCTCTGAGAAGTGGATAGCCTCTGCCTTCTGAGTCTATCTTAGTCTGGTTACTACAATAATTCAGGTGACTATTTCATCACTCTGCTTTTGTATGTTTTCCTGATTTAATTTGTCTTTTGCTTGTTATTTTTTTAATCTGTCATCCCCAAATCCATTCTCTGTTTTGGATCACACCATTTGGGCTCTCTAGCCAATTAGGTCCCAGTTGTGTTTCACCAACAAGAGACACTGTCGGTAAATTAGAGGATATCAGAGGGCAAGAGGAGATTGGAGTAAGGATGTTATACCTCTTCACACACTCCCATACTCCAATGTGGTTATAAAACTGGTTGTGGCCCTCTAGGGTGAGCATCTTCTCCAGCTTTCTTCACATTCTCTCTCACACACACATACACTATATATGCTAAACCAAACCAAACTCACTGTCATCAAGTCATATCTGACTCATAGTCACCCCTCCTTGGGTTTCTGAGGCAGTATCACTACGGAAGTAGATTGTTCCTTCTGAGGAGTGGCTGGTGTGTTTGAGCTACCAGCCTTCTGCTTAGCAGTCAAATGCTTTAGGCACTATGCTACCAGAACTACCACTCTATCTATCTATCTATCTATCTATCTATCTATCTATCTATGTTATAGGTGTGTGTGTGCATGTATATAGTATATAAGTGTCTGTGTGTGCACATATATAAGTCTTTAGGTGGCATAAATGTTTTGCAGTCATCTACTAACCTAAAAGTTGGTTCAAGCCCACTAAACAGCACTATGGAAGAAATGCCTTGGCAACCTTCTTCTATAAAGATTATAGCTAAGAAAATCCTATAGAGCTGTTTACTCTGTAACAAATGGGGTCACCATGAGTTAGAATTGACTTGATGGCAGCAGGTTTGGTTTGGTTCTTGGTGATTTTATGTATGTGTGTGTATTTCAAAGGAGGTGTACATGAAATTATAGATTCTAGGAGCTCTGGTAGCATAGTGCCTAAGGCACTTGACTGCTAACCAGAAGGCTGGCAGTTCAAATCCACCAGCCACTCCTCAGAAGAAAGTGTGGACAGTCTACTTCCATAGTGATACTGCCTCGGAAATCCAAGGAGGGGTCACTATGAGTCAGGTCTGACTCGACGGCACATAACAACAGCAACAGCTTTAACTTTTTTGCTGTTTTAAGGTTGAAGAATATGAAGCTCACAAAAATTAAATGAATGATTAAATTATAACACTGATTTATCATTAGACGTATGTGAGGTTTACATCCCCTGCATGTGATAGGGGCCCTTACCTTAGCTGTGTGGTTCTCTTCCACAACCACACTATAATCTAGGCTTTCAAGCAGTCCCTTCATCCCTGCGATGTCATGTTCAGCCCCAGTACACCTCGAGAGGTGTTCAAACTCTGTGTTAGAGATGATGAGGGACAGATGAGTACACTCCCTCTTCTCCTTTATTAGATAGATCTTTAAAACAAAGATAAGTTAAATGCATCACATTTGTATTACATTTCTTATACCTTCACAGCATAGTCAACGTTATGCTCTAAAGGGCTTAAGAAAGCTATTTGCTCTACTTACTTATGCCAAAAATATTTCCTTATTTTCTCCTACTTACATATGGAGCTCTGGTAGCATAGTGCCTAAGACACTTGACTGCTAATCAGAAGGCCAGCAGTTCAAACCCACCAGCCACTCCTTGGAAGGAAGGTTGGGGAATCCTACTTCTGCAGTGATACTGCCTTGGAAACCCAAACAGGGGTCACTATGAGTCAGGGCCGACTCTACAGCATATAACAACAACAATAACATATGGTAGAAATTTCTAAAAGAAAGCAGAAGGAAGTGGGAATGGAGTTTTACCCAGGGTCTGACTAAAAGAGCAAAACTCCAGAGTGGTGAACAAGAACAGCTATGGGATATTTATTCAGTGATCTTGTGCCGTGAACTAGAATACTTTCTTTCCTTTCCTCTCTGCTCAATATGGCTGAATCCTAGAATATTTTCAAGATCGATATCAATATTCTCCAACACTGGAGATATTTCCAAGCTACTTCATTCATAACCCAAACCTTCATGCCCCTTGTGTTGTTACATGTTGTCCAGTCAGATCTGACTCATAGTAACCCTATGTACAGCAGAACAAAATGCTTCCCTGTCCTACACCATTCTCATAATCTTTGTTATACTTGAGCTCCTCATCACAGCCACTGTCAATCCATCTTGTTGAAGGTCTTCCCCCTTTTTTATTGATGGCCCTCTACTTTACCATGCATGATTTTCTTCTCTAGAAACTGGTGCCTTCTTGTAACTTGACCAAAGTACATGAGACATAGTCTGGCCATTCTTGTTTCTAAAGAGTGTACCTGCTGTATCTTTTCCAAGGCAAATTTGTTTTTCCTTCTGGCAGCCCATAGTGTGCCCGGTGCAGTTTACTTTTATAGCAATATTTTACCATCTATATATAACCTGTAGTGTCATTAATTAATTCATTACTGCATACCTATTTATCTTAGTAGAATAAAAATACCTACCCACAATTATTTTTAAACTTTATGAGATGCCTCAAAGCATAACTAGAAAAGATGTTTTCAAGCTCAGGACCTCTGTATACTTTATGTCTAGGGAGTGTTCCCACTTCATTTTCTCCCCCATTTCCATTAATTGATTGTATCACCTCTCCGGACTTCTCTTTTTCTTTTCTCTTCAGGAAATCTTCACAAGGACAAAGCTTGAGTGTGCCTATGGGTTCTGCAGGTGCAGAGGTGTTAAGATACACTGTATTAGGAGTTGCTGGAAGAGCTGTAAGTGACATAGAATAATAAGGGTTATGGTATCTGGTATAAGACTTTGCTATTAGGCGCCCTACCCTATATCATTCTAGAAACTATCACAGGAATAGACACCCATTCACTAAGAAAATAAATAGGACAAATTTGGTATGAAACATTGTAGCATTTAAAAGTTGTACCTTTTCTCCCAACATCCTGCTAACAAAGATGACTTGTGATCAGACAAGGAAAGAGAACTCAATTGTGGGAAATATTATCTGATTATGAGATCTCACCAAGATGCAACATTGCACTCATGTGATTTGGTGGCAAAGACTATAAGGTAAGGGATCTAATAATGCTCAATTGGCCTCTCTGAATTCTGGGAAATTCTTTAAGGCTTGAAAATGTATATTAAGTAAGGGAGTAGGAAGGAAGGAAGGGGACTGTGGGTCTAACTTGTTTTCAAGTTTCTTTATGTACTAGAGCCTACAGTCAATGATCAAAATAAGAGTCTTTGTTTCTTACCTATTTGGGAAAACCAAGGTAATTTTTTTTATTATTATTATTGTTTTTGTACAACCTGAATTACTATCATCAAATAATGACTTACTTCAAACTAATGGCACGATATGGTATAAACATGAAGCAGAGAAGGTGGTAGAGGGGTGGGGGAGGGGAAAACAAGATCTGTGAAGCATGAATGGAAGGCTGAAGGTTAGTAAGTACAAGATTAGTAGCTGTAGAGTCATCTATTGCCTGGAAAGTACATACGAAAGCAAATATTGGATGGCAAGGTGTGTAGGTAAATTGAAACATCCCTTAAACAGAATTGAGGAATCTCACCTGAAGAAAATCCCAACTTGTTGGCAAGAGTAGAATCTGTCTCACAGATATGTTTGATCAATATCTGGCTGGCATGGGGCCCTTTGGGAATCACAGAATCTATTAAGGCACGAGCCTTATCCTTAGTTGTATTATTTTCCTTTTTCGCTATTTCAGTCTCTTCTTGATTTAGCACTTTTTCACTCAGTAGGTCATCCAGCAAATTATTAAGTGTATGCTCAGACACTGACTGCACAAATAGGTTTCTTTTTTCTTTTAGTTTCTTATCTGCTGAAAGTAAAATCATGCCAAAAGCTATAGTCACATTAAGAAACATCACTCTGTTAGCTAAATAACTGGTTCCTCTCTTTTATACCCCCTCTTCATTTTGCAGGAGTCCCATCAAATGTCCTATTTATTCTAAGTTCCCTTTCATTTTTCTAAGCAATGGGCACTCAGTTCCAGGACTTTTACCCATCCAAGACAAAACAAGGCTGTTTTTATCCAAGACAGTCGTCTTGCTCTGTTTTGGTGAGTTCCCAGCAAGGACCATGAAACTCCATCTGCACTATCACTTTGATAAATATGTCCTTGGAAATTAGAGTCCATAGTGTCAATTATGTAATTTTTTATTTCTCTTAAATTTAATGACAATAACTCATGATGATCCTATCAAATACATTCTCAATCTCAGCCATTTTGGGACATCTGAGCATTCAGGGAGGAGCCACAAAAATAACCTCAGAAAGTTAGGTCATACTCCTTCATGTCATTCACCTTTCTCTCTGAAATGGCAAGAAAACGCAGCTGTTCACCTGACTCATGAATCCCACAGCTCATTCCCAGGAAGTCTGGAAAGCAGAAGCTGGAAGAACATAGATCAAGGAAAGCAAGCTCTTTCCTTCCTGCTCTCTTTAGGTATTGGCCATCCAAGCTGTGAATAAAAACAAAAATTTCAAGGGATCCCATATTCTCTCACAAATATCTCTCCTAAAGATACAGCCAAATATAAGAAAGACTTACCATCCATAGTCTCTCTGGGTCAATTCTGATGAGGCAAGCAAAAGCAAAACAAAAATAATACTGAATGAAATCAAGATTTTCCTGTTGGGACAGGATATCAGCATGACTTAGGAAATAGTTATTGCATTGCACATGTGGATGCCTATATATGTATGCCTGCTTTTTTCTTTGTTACTGTTAATTAGAGACTGTTTCCATCTCTAAAGGTCCCTTTTCATAAAGGAATGATATAGCAGAACCAAGCATTGAGCTAAATCTTACAGATTTAGCATTTAAAAATACAGGACTCACAATAACATATGTTAATATTTGAGATATATTTATATTAAAAGTGAGATATATTTATACTAAAAAAAAATTATTGTTGTTTAATTGAAATTCAAATTTAATTGAGTGTCCTGTATTTTATCTATTAAAATTTTGAACTAGATCATTCTTTGTTGCCGAGGGTTATTCTGCACGTCGTAGGGTGTTCACCTACATACCTGGCTTTTACCTGCTAGTTCCCAGTAATATTCCCCCAATAGCAATATCCAAAAGTGTCTCCAGACATTGGCAAATGTACTCTGGGACACGGGGCAAAATCCTCTCACTCATCATTGAACCTCTCTAGATTCTGAGTTTGATAAGGTTAGGTAAAGCCCTGCTCTCTTGCTTATAAGCTTTTTTTCACCTTAAACAAGTCACTTAATGTATACAGTTACACTTAATCTATACAGTTGCTTAAACTATACAATGGAGATAATAACAAGAGTGTTCCGTGGAGCAAGTATTTGCATAGTGTTAGAGGCATGTATTTCAATCACTTATTTAATGCACTTTGCAATCCTATGAGGTGGTTAATATTGTTAAATCTATTTTACAGATGAGAAAACTGAGGTACAGAAAGATTAAACAACTTGCCCAAAGTCATACACCAAGAAAGTGTCAAAACCAAAACCAGAAGTCTAACCCAGGTATTCTGGCTTCAGAGTCTCTGTTCTTCATCATATGGCAAGGAGTCTCAGAAATTGAATTTAGAGTGCTTGACACAATGTCTGACACATAGTAAGAACATAAAATACTGCATGAATTCTTAAAGTTAGATTCATGTTAGCATTATTTTATATAGCCTGGAAGTAACCACTGCATCACACATTTCCTTTTATATTTTTCCACATTATGTCCTAACAACCATCTTGTGAAGTAGACACGGGAAGCAATTAGTAACATATTCAGCTAATGAATAAGGAACCTAAATATTTCTAGAGAGATGAGATGAGCCTGAATGATAATCCAATATTCTCATCCCCAGACTAGCTCTTTCTTTAGTATCACAAGACACTTCCCTCAATAGCACTGTGAAACTCATATCAGACTTTACAATAGTTATAGAAATCTAATCCAGCCCCTCATACAATTTCTTCAAAGAATGCATTACAACTTGCAATAATTTTAATTATTTGTGTCAAGTTCTCTGAGAAGACAAGAACGAGTAATATTGAGTAAGGGTCTGCTTTCAAAAGACTTAGTTTAGATAGACTAAGGAAGAAAACTGAACTGTCTTATCTTGGATAAGTTACTTAAGGAAAATTAAAAAGATAATATAAAAAGTAAAGAATCCATGAAACAATAGGATAAATTGAGTGCTATAATAGAATTTCAGGAAAAAAGCTGGATTTAAGAGTATACTGGATTTTAAAGAATGGCAAGATTTTGAACATTTGGGTGAAAGAATAAGTAAACCAAAAAACCCAAACTCACAGCCATCAAGTCTACTCAACTCATAGCGAGAATGGCTGGTGGATGGGAGACTGTATTTAAGGAGATCTTATGATGTTCCAGGCATGGATGTTTTACACACAATAGATCACTGATCCACTAAATAACAGCCCTGAAGAAGCTATTAATACTATGTCATCATTTTAAAGATGGAAAACTGGCCCTTCCCTTGATTATAGCTCTTTCATAAAGTCACTTTGTTAATACTTGGTAGAAATCAAATTTTAATTTGAGAAATTTGCAATTCTCAAAACCAATCTTTTTAATGTACACATACAGGAGACAACAGCAGAAAATTTGAGAGCATAGAACTTAGAACAATATGAATTGAAAAAAAAAGGATGGGGGAAGAAAGAGTACTATTTTCTTTTTAACACAGAATGCCTATGGTGGAGCAATGTAAAACCACAAAATTAAGTTATCTAAGTAAATTGGCTTCTTTACAAAACACTTATCACTAACTGACATCTTTTTATTGTTTATTTGTTATCTTTCCCTTTCTGCTATGATATGAGCTCCTAAGAGAGTGACCTTGCCCATCTCCTTTGTTTCTTTGTCTCCATCATCTAAAACCATGAGTGCTGTCTAGGCATTGATCACTATATACTGTACAATGTAAATTATTAGAAAAGAAGAAAGAATGTAATTTATAGTGAATTTGTACATGGGAGATAAATATAACCAATAATGAAGGCCAATCAATTTAAAATTCAAAATTAAATCATGAAGATAAATACAAACAGGATAAATAAGAATTATTAATCTTAAACTCACCAAATCCCTCATTCATTCTCAACTATTAAACATATATTTATAGAGTGTTTAATAAATGTCAGGCAATAAATTAGGACCTAGGCATTTTAAACAAGAATAAAATATTGCCTTGTCCTTAAGGATTTTTACTGACTACTAGAGACTTCAGACAGCAAGTTAATAACTAAAATACAATTATTACAAAATTAAAATTTGTGCAAGGTAGGCAAATAATGCATATAACCAATTGTTCCACTGCTAAATTAACAGGTTTTGAAATAGCTTTTGTGGAGAATAAAAAATCTGACTAATTTTCCTCTAACAAGTCTGATGTGAGCTAGAACAAGTCAATATGATCTTAGGCTATATTATTAGTAACAGTTCACTCAACAAATATTTACTGTGAAACTACTAAATATCAGACATGGTAAACAGAGAGAATGATAAAAGTCAGTAAGAGTATAGAGTCCTGGCTATGTAGAGCTTACCTAATAGTAGGAATGATAGAAAGTTAATAAATCTGCAGATAAATAATGAAAATAATTGCAAATTTTAGTATATACCATGAAGAGAACTCACATGGAGATGGATTAGATTCCTATCACCACTGCAACACATTTTCGCAAACTTGGTGAAGTAAATAAAACAAATTCATTCTTTTTCAGATCTAGATGTCAAGCATGTGAAAGGGGTTTCATTTGGTTAAAACTGAGGTACAGACAGGCTGCATTTCTTCTGGTGGCTCCAGGGGAGAGCCTAGATCTGTCTGCTTGGCGCTTCCAGCTTCTAGAGGAGAATGTAGAATGTTTCCTACATTCCTTGGCTTTTGGTCTTACATCACTCCAATCTTTGCTTCAGTTGTCATCTCTCCTTCTTTGACTCCGACTCTCCTGCTTTCCTCTTTCTCTTATAAAGACTCCTTTGATTATTTCAGATAATGCAGCATCACCTCATCTTTAAATTAATTGTATCTTCAAACCCCCTTTTTCTTCATGTATGGTAACATATTCACAGGTTCAGTGGATTAGGACAGGGACACTTTTGGGTGCGGCATCATCTGTCTACCACAGGTGGGATGTTCCAGAACAAGTCAATAGGGGAAGCAGAGTTACAATAGGATGGTCAGAGAAATCAACCCGACTAGGTTCAGCTGGATAGTTAATAAAACATCTTCAATTCAAGGGACAAGGTAGTTCCAGTAATTCCTGAACTACTTAATTCACATCTGGATTATTTCCTTCATGTCTGGACATCAATTTTAAAGAATTTTAAGCACAGAATACACCGTATTTAAAATCTGGATGAAGGAAAACAGTTTGGAAATTCCTTGAAAAGTTAAACACAGAAATACCCTATGTCCTAGCAATTACACTCCTAGGGACCTACAGCTGAAACTTAAACAGACGCATGTACACTCATGTTCATTGCAGCACTATTCACAATAGCCAAAATGTGGAAACAACCTAAGTGCCCACCAATGGATGAAGTAATAAACAAAATATGGTATATACATACAATAAGATAAAGAGAAATGCAGCCGTGGAGAGAAATGCAGTCCTGATCAATATGAATGCACCTTGAACATCTTAAGCTCCTTGAAATAAGTCAATCGAAAAGACAAATATTGTGTGATCTCATTTATATCTCACTTACATAAAATAACAAGAATTGGCAAATGTATAGAGACTAAGGTTTATTAGTGGTTACTGGGATGAGAGAATGGGGGAAAGGAAGCATGAAGTTTTGTTTATGATGATAGGAAATTTGTCAATTATAGCTAATGATTGCATAATATTAATGTAATTGATATCATTAAAATTTACACTGACAATGTTAAAATTGATAAATGTATTATAAATATTTTTACAACAATAAAGAACTTACAAAAAAAAAAAAAAACCTGGATAATGAGCACATAAGAAAATTCCAAAGAGTGATTCAGTATGGTTATTCTGAGCCCATTTTAGTATACTGTAACTTAAAGAAATTACGTACTATGTTACTATTATTGTAACCAATATTTTCAGCAAAAAAGAAAAGAGTAACAAATATAAAATAGTATTAATTAAGTTAATATCTTGGAATCTTAAATATGAATTGAAAATATCACTGAATTCATGATTTCTTCAACTTTTAAAATATATATATTTCCTAACCTTGTCTGTTCAGAAGATCTAGAACTCATGAGAGCCTAGTACTCTGGATCACCTCTCGTGTTCCAGATTAAAGAACCCTGGTGGCACATCATTAAGAACTGGGCTACTAACTGAAAGATCAGCAATTCACACCCACTGGCCACTAAATAGAAGAAACATGTGGCTGTGTGCCCCCCTAAAGGTTACACAGCATTGGACCCCTTATGGGACAGTTCTACTTTGTCCTATAGAGTTGTTATGAGTAAGAATTGATTTGATGTCTGTGGGTTTTTTTTTTTTTTTTTCCAGTGTCCAGGTGTCATTTCTAAATACTATTATACACTAGAAAAGAGCAGGGCTCCTTGGAGAACTACCTGATTCCAGGTCAGGGCCAAGAAATACAAAGAATGATCCTGGGACATCTTTTTGTTC